GAACACTTTAGTGATAGGCATTATTTCATTTACATTAAACTTCTTACTAATTATAGTTGCAACATAGATGAGAACGCTGAATAAATACAATAAATAAAATTTCTTTAAGCGTGCAGTTTACACGAAGTAACCTTCCCTCGAAAGAAACTGAAAAAGTTACTTCAAACATCTTAGTTGCTGTAGTAAGTGAAAAGACGAATTCTGAAGACCGTTAGCCACTACTTGATGTAGAGGGAAATGAGATATTTCCATAAAATGAATGGGCTCAAAGTTGAGAAAATATGTTGTACTGGGTCTAACCTTGAAGCAACCTTGAAATTCTCACATATACACACCCTTAACACTCGGCACCATCTGAAAGTACTGGACAAGTACAGTTCCATGAGTTAACAACGCGTAATTGCTACCGCTAAATTGAGGGTTATATTTAAATGACCTAACGTAACCAAGTTTAGGACGTTCAAGCCAGTTCACTCGGTTCTTTCGAGTAGCCCATAAATCCTCTATGCGTCATACACACACTCAGTAATTGTATCACAAAGATATCAAGGCATAATTCAATACAAAAAAATCCGCAACATTTAACAATGACATTTGGCGGTCATACCGAAAAAGTTTTCAGTGGAACGAAATATGGGCTGGGAATCAGTGGGAATATTTCCAACAGAATGGGTCCAAATATGTGTCTGCAAGAATCAAATAGATAGATAAAATATTCTAGCAGAATCTTAAATTCACCCCTGCGAAATATCGCGAGTGTTGAAACATCTTACTCTCGCCTATCCGGCATCACATGGCAGTTGAATGGGTCACTATAGGTCACAACGAAACCATACAATTTAGGCTCAGCCTTAAAAAGACTGAAATTATGCTGCACAAGCTATGGGCAAAAGGCGACATCTACAGTAGAGGAAGAAATCACCCGATAAAAGTCATTGCTGTCAAATATGGTGCTTCTGAGGGGTCTTTTGTGTCATTCAACATGCTCTGGGAGACATTCCCACTGTTAGGCATCATGAGTGTGATTCACTTGGTTTTAGACTGCAGAATTTCATAAATGATAGTAGATGTAGAAGACACCTAGCTGATTGTGCACCTTGAAAACCCACAGTTTTAAAAGTAGTGCTTTAATATTTTAATACCTGTTAACTGCTGAATTCTGACACAGAAAGAATTTTCTTTCAACTGCTGTTGTAAATTTTAGCATACATATATATAGACAGCCAGCACCTGTGTGCATAAGTTAGGCTAGCAAAGAGTCACTATGGTTCTGTCAAGAAGCTCAATGCTTCTGAAATGTCCACTCTTTAGGTTCTGAGTGGCTCATACCACAAACAGACATGTTAGAAACTAGATAAATTGATTAACGGTCTTTTAACTCACCTTCGGACCTCGTGTTTTGTTCATCATCTCTAGTTAAGTTTCTTTATTTAAATCTTGTCAACCGCCTTAGGGTTTTTTTTAATTTTTGATTATAGCTTGACTTCACACCGTATTTTTGGTACACGTATGGAATTTTCAGCATGTGATATCGGTAGCCCAAATTTGCAGGCCAACCATTGATATCAGGTGTGTGTTGCTAGGGGATCGAACCCTGGACCATGCGAATGGTTCGTGAGAGTCCTAACCGCTGTGCCACCGACGCACTTGGATACTGCTGCAGCTGAAGATAAACATGTGTAGAGATCAACTTTTGAGTGTTGTTGAAAATTTAATAAGTGCACTGGCAATAGTTATCAGTTTGCCAGTGATCTTGGAAAATCCTGATGAGTATCTTGCTCACTCACCAACACAACTGGAGATTTTACATAGGAAAAAGTTGGTGTATCCATGGCTCACATACATTACATATGAAGGCCGGGCAAACTTTTCCCAACATAGGGCTGAAGATAGGACATTTGAAGTCGAAATTCAAATGCATAAAGTCTTTGTCTTGGGCTTTTCCGTTGTGCTGTCAATATGCACGATCCCTGAGTTTTTAATAAAGCTATATCCGTTAGATAAGTTCAGTATAATCAAAACTTTACAGTTTATCCAAAAATTATGGCGCACCAGATCACATTTACGCAATAACCAAGTCCTTTAAATTTGTTTTTATTTTTATCAGTACTTGCAGATTAGGCAGACTACTGAATTACTATGCATGCAGATAAATAATAAAGTGAAGTTTACTATTATTATTGCCAGTACTTTACAACTTCATCATTTATAGGATATTGTATGTTTCAGGGTTAATTCTTGTGGGATTTTTTCACCTTCTGCATTGATGATTTTATCAGACGCACTGAAAGCCTCAGGTCCAATATCCAATACCGTTTTTACGAGCTAGTATAAACAAATTTGATTTCTTTGCGCTCGCCTCTTGATTGTGAGGTAGAGGTTCCTGATCTTTGGTAAACGTCTGTGTAGCTCGTCCCGCCACTCGACTGTCGTAGCTTTGGTTGACTCCAACAGGAGTAGTGCTGGGATTAATTATATGGCGTCTGTAGTATGAAGTGTGTTAAGACTGTTACTACTGTGAATGGAGTTGATCCTTTCACCAGTTAGTCTTTCGGTATCGTCGTCAATGGAAAAGAGATAATAATAATAATAATAATAATGATAGATATAATTAGTAAAGGTACTCAGACTAACAGACAGAGAAAAAATAAGAAAACGTAACAACAGTCAGTCAACCGGTATACATATATATATATATATATATACATATATATATATACCAGTAATAATGATAATAATAATAGGTGTAGTTAAAGCTGTCAGGAGAGTAAGACTGAAGGGAATGTGAAGAAGTAAAACGACCAGTTTAATTGTCTACCTTTGAATGGTATATGCGATTTTAAGGGGATAGGCCATTTGGATACAGTCCTTGTGTCGCTGCAAGGTTGTCCAGCCTTCGCTTAAAGGCGTCCACAGATGGTGCCATAGCTACATCTGCCGGTAAGGAATTCCAGGGACGGCAAACCCGCAGGGAAAAGAAGTGGGAGCGCACCCGGGTCCTTGCCCTCTGATGAGCTATCCTTCTGGGATTTCCACGAGGGAGCCTATACCTACTCAATGGCAGAACACCTTTGTTCGGGTGATTCTGATCATTTGTTATTTTGTAGGCAGTAATTAAATCCCCCCCTCAGGCGACGGTAACTGAGTGTGAATAGGCCTAATTTCTTCAGCCTTTCGTCATATGGTTTATTTCGGAGACCAACCACTCCTTTTGTTGCCCGTCGTTGGGCTCTTTCCAAGAGGTTGGCGTCTCTTTTAAGCAGTGGGGGTGCAATGATATTATGCACTTCAAGATGCGGTCTGACGTATGTTTTATACAACCTTAGAAAGAGCTCAGGAATGAGTGCACCTAATTGTCTATGTGTAAAGTGTATGACCGCATATGCCCTCGCTACACCCCCCGTGTAATTCACGCTTGTGTCCATTTTCTCCGTTAGAACTAGACCTAAGTCACGTTCCGACGTTGAGCAGGACAAGCTTTCATTGCACAGGGTGTAACTTGCATTCTGCAGTCTACAGGTGCGTAACTTCACTACTTTGCACTTTTTCAGGTTGAAAGTCATTCCACTGGCTACCGCCCAGTCTTCCAGAAGCCTTAGATCTGCCTGCAGCCTATCTGAGTCCTCCTGACACTTTACCGCCCTCCATATCTTTACGTCATCAGCGTATAGAAGAGTCGGGCAGTTTAGACGGCATGGTAAATCATTGATAAAAATCAAGAACATCAGTGGTCCCAGGATAGAACCCTGCGACACTCCTGATGACGAGCTGTGCCAAGATGATCGGACTCGATTGACCTTGGTGCAAAATTGCCTTTCAGTTAGGTAGTCCTTCAACCATGACAGAAGTGGTTTACCTAGACCTACCTGGCTTATTTTGTGTAGGAGAAGGTCATGGTGAACATTGTCAAATGCCTTCTCAAAGTCTAGAAAGATCACATGGACAGGAACATTCATATCTCAGCATGATGTCCAATCGTCCCAAGCTGATAATAAGTTAGTGACGCAGGATCTTCCTTTCCTGAAACCCTGTTGGTCTTCATGGAGTATTTTAGACCTATCCAGATATTCCCTGATGTGATCATCAATAATACTTTCCAGTACTTTCGATACCACTGGGAGTAGAGCTACTGGTCTATA